CTCAATTAAAAAACAAATGCCAGATTCCCGTAGAGGCAGTTTAACCACTGCTATTACTGTGTTTGTGACTGGTTACCACACATGAGCTTTGTGATTAAAATTAGGCTATTAGAAGCAGCCAGTTTCTTGGAAAATTAGAGAAAACACTGGGGGAAGTGATTTCTTTGAAAACAAAAGCTGAATCAAATAATATGTTTCCAATCATACCAGATGGGGCCCACTTCTTCTGTGTCTTTTAGTAGGGTAGACCAGGAGAGATGTGACTGAAGGCAATAGCATTTCACACTGTTACAGTTGGTGAGGATTAAAGGAGGCTTAGGTCAATCATTTATTAAGTGCTTACTGTTTCTAATCAGCCTCTCAACTTTGCAACTTTTCAGCATTCAGACTTAGTTCTGAATTTTGCACAAAGTTGCAGTCTTATAATTGGTGTGAATCTGACTGTCCTCGACCAAGAGAGCCCTGACTTTCAGGGTATTTGAAAATTAGAGTTCAAACTAGAGCTTTTTCCTCTTACCTATACACTGCGTAAGCTGCTGGGTTTAAAGTGAGATTACTCCAGTGTTCTATCTTGAGCAGAACGGGCTAAAACTGAGCATTTCACAATCTGGAGGCGATGCCCTTCCTTGGGTTTGTGGACACAGCTAGAGCAACCAGCTTCCCTGAATGTTATGGGCAAAAGCAGCTTAGCCAAGTCCCCCTGCCCTATCTGCAGTACCCAGTGCACTGTAAAATTACCCGAGCTCCACCCTTCGGTGGCCAGAACGCTGCTGTGAATGGGACAAATTTGAGTTTGTTTACACTTAAATGACATTTGTTGAGTAGAAATACTCAGAAGCCAGATTTAGCAAGGTATTTAGGCACCAGAAAGTGCAAACAACTGATGATTTTGAAATATCTCTTTTTGAGTTCAGGACCTAAAGCCAATGCTTAGTGACTTTGTTATCAGAACTGAAGCATGTCACCCACACAGGTACTTCCCTAAAGCCTGTCTGCGTCCTTAAGAGCCTGAATACTTTTGTAAATCCATTTGTGGATCTCTTCTGGAATGACATTTAGGCTCCCAAGTCACCTGCCATTTTTGAATTCTGCACTGCTAGTGACTCGTTAGCTACGACGGAGAAAATTATGCAACTGTCTCAGTACCTAAAGAAGAGGGTTGGGTATTAGGAGCCTGATTCTCCTCTCAGCACCGTTTCTGACTTGTTATTTGACCTTCAGATGTTGCAGCTCTCAGCCCTGCAAGTGATGCTGGTTGCAGTGAGCTGTTGCAAAGCCCATCAGTATTTTTGCAGAAGGGTTGCAGAAACACGTGCCGTACGAAGATAAGAGATAGTGATGCAGATGCGTGTCAAAGTGGGGCTGTCTTTCAGGTGGTCTGGAGGGTCGCAGCCTGTGCATGCTGGCAAATTTGCAAATGCATACTGCTCTAAAACTGAGTGTAGGGCTGAGTTTAATTGCTTCTTGGGGTTTGTAGTGAGAGCTGAGAGTGCCCTGGCTTTTGCCAGTGGGTTTGGGCTGTAAGTGACAGACGTTCAATGGAGGGTTATGCGATTTTCCATTCATTACCCGTGAACGCCGTCACAGGCTGTAATCCATCATGTTAGAGATCGTGACCCTTTGAATGAGCGACTGTGGTGCTCGTACCATGTTAATTCATTGTAGTTTTCGTGGCGTGATTTTTCACTTTTCTGTAAGGGACTCTTCTGCATCCTTCTGGATTGTCGATCCCTCCAGCAATCAGAGAATATTTCCATCACCCACTCAAGGCTCATGAACCCCGGGACAGGCAATCTGCTGGTGTAAATCCGTGTGGTCAGTGGGGCTGCTCCTGGGAAGCATTGACTGCCAATAGGAGCACACGTTCACCGTGCACGAGGCTATAAAATGCTTCAACTGGTCAAAAATATTTTGTCTCTTCATCTGCATTTCAAAGAAAACTCCCTTGGAGTAGTTGCTAGAAAGTAATGCCTGATGACATCCTCTTTAGATGGCTTTGGACACCGTGAAATAATGGTAAAGGGTCAGATTCTGCCACCTATAATGATTTCAGACATTTGCTCGACTGCGGAGCCTGGCGGGGACCAGGGGAAAGTCTCACCCCTTCAGTCCTCTTCTTGTAGCTGCTTTTATTAAACAGGCGCCTTTCCTGTCAGTGTGAATAAAGGGAGGAGAGAGCAGTTCATTATCCAGTGTATCACTTTGAGTCTAATACTAATTAAAAGCTTTGCCTTCACTTCTGTGGAACCTATTCTTAGAAATTATGTAAATTAATTGGAGTTTTGAAGAGGAGCATATGCCAAGTCCTAAGTAATTCCCTGCTGGCTGAGGCAACTCCAGCACTGGAACTAGACAATGGCATTGGGATCTTTTTTTCCTTTTGTGGCTGCAGAAATCTAAGGCTGTTTCAGTAAATTTTGATGCCCCTCTCTAGCAAATATACAAGAGAGATCAAATATCCAGACCCTGACCGTTTGGCACAGAGGTACAACACAAAGGCTTTTTCTCCATGAAAGCTTTTCCATCTCAAAAATGACATTTAACGCAGACAAGCTTTTTACTTCCGCAGCCCTTCTCTAAACAAACGTACCTTCCTGCTTCAAAGAGGATTTTGACCCTCAAAAGGGAGATGTACCTGAGATCCCATGAACTCCCCTTGCGGGATCACTCTTGCTGTTAATTTAATGAGGAAGATATTTACATGCTACGCTGAATGAGAAGGGAGATTTGATCCTAAGGTACATAGTGTATGGAGAAAAGGGGATATGCTTTTGAAGTAAAATAGCTTTAAATGTTATTTTTTCCCCCCCCCCCCCCGACTATTTTTTTCTCTTTGAAAAAGGCCAAAACAAATAGAAGGAGAAGAACCAAAGAAACAAATTCAAATAAAAATGAGAAGCAATACGGTTTGGTCTCAATGTATTTTGGTCTCAATCAACAAATCACTTAAAGTTGATGAAACTTCTTGCATGTTTAAAGATAAACATGATTAAGTACTTTGGTGGATCTTGGCTTGTTATGTATTGAAGCTGGATACAAGTGTGAATTGAATCCTGGAACTTTTGATGAGAAGATGCTGCAGTGTAAGCTTCCTTCCAGATGTACATTTTGCCAAATTGCCTTTTCTTTACAACCTCAGCCTAAGGATTAAGAGACACCGGGTGTGCATCCTTATGCAGGAGGAGGCAACCCTCCAGTCCAGATGCTTTTTGCCTTTGGAGATTTGAAGTTGAGTGCTGGCGAGATCTGATTTTTGTAGCCGTTATCTTTTCCCAGCTTGACGCCTTTCGGTAGTAAAGATGGCAATTTTGATAACCTGTCTGCCCGATGCATCCCTGGTGCGATGCAACCGCTGTGTACAAGGTGCCAGATTCTCCTCCCTGATTCAGCCTTTGTTCAATGAAACATCCTCTGTGTAAAGCTGCTAGAAATGGGTCTCCTGTTTCTCTGGGGCTTTAGTGATATGGAAGTGACTGCCAGCAAGTGCAAGTATGGCTCATGGTTATGCTATGCTGCAGGAGCCCAAACTGAAGCTCTGCTCCTTCCTCAGCCATTAGTTCACTGGGCTTTGGGCTGTTATTGCTTAATCTTCCTCAGTTTCCCCATCAGTATATACTTCTCTTGCTGTGAGAGTAAATCCATTATGAATTTTTTTTTGACTCCTTTTTATTTCTTACATAAAAGGCTCTACAATGTTGCAGGTTGGTAAGATGAAAACAACAATTCATTTAGCTGTGGCTGGAGCTTGTAAAAATCCGCAGGAATGTAAGATCCCAAAATAGCAGTTGTTAAGTCTACAAGTGAAGACAGTTCTTGGGAAAAGAAAGCACAATGACATACAACTTCGGATCAATAGAAAATCGTTTTAGAACAAGAATACAACATGTAGCAGTGAATGTAGATGGGAATGACATTGCTAACCACTTATTAGATAGCAAGCTTTCTGCATGTATTTTGGAGTCGTCTGTATGTGTGCGTTAAATATAACATCATCTCTTTTTATGCTTGTATTGGCTAATGCACAGATGGTTTAAAAATTCTGTAGGACATTTTTGTTGAATGAACTCAAAATATGATCATTACTCTGAAATTAGGATGCCAGCTTGTACACCTATTAGACAGGGATTATGGGGGATGGAGTAATTTGATAGATGTTATACACTAAACTGGTGGCAAATCAGGGAGTTGAACCTGGGTTGTTTCTAAATTTTGGGACTGCGTCCTGTTGCCATCCCCAAGGCTGCTGTCTGCAACCCTCTGGGTGCAGCCAGGTTTGATCCCAGTGAAAGTGTTGCGGTGGGAACTTGAACACAGTTGCGTGTTTTCCCACCAATGTGTTCTTTCACTGCCCACATTTTGGGTCAGAGTTCATTGTCTGGGCCTTAGTCCACCTTCAGTCTCCTGGCTGAGGAAAAGACCTTCCTGTCTTGCAGCACATGGAAACCAACCCAGGTCCTTATTTTAGTGCCCTGCAGGAGCTGGACATCCCTCAGGGTAAATCAGGGCCATCCTGAGCTGTTTGCACTGATGCTGTGCATTACCCTGGGGGACCTCGGGTTGAGTCCTGACACCTCTGGACCTTTAGTTGCTCTTGGGTGGGGGAGGCTGTCAGAGGTGAAGGGTCTCTGCCCAGGGGAGATTTTCACGTAGGCATTTCTCAGACAGGTCCTCATTTTGGTGAGCATGATCTCCTTGTTGGTGAAACTCAAGTTAGATGCTGCTGATGAGATGGATGCACACTGTGCTTTAGATATGATGGGTTTGGTCCTGCAGAACTGTCCTCTAGGAGTGAGGCTGTCCCCTCTCTTTCTGTGATTGAGTTGGCATGAAAAGAACGTAGGACCAGGAGCGCCCAGTTGGAGCTGGAAGTCAATCTGATAATCAGCTAAGTGACAAAACCCACGTGGAGACATTTCAAATAGATTTTCAAGTGTATCAACCCCTCCTTGGTGTATGGTGCTGACACACTGTGTGTTTCCCCTCCTCATCTCTTCCCACAGGACCATGCTGATTTGCGAAACCACTTCTTCACTGTGGGGATGAAGCTGGAGGCGGTGAATGTGAGGGAGCCGTTTCATATTTGTCCTGCATCAGTGACCAAGGTGAGCTTCAAGAAAGGAGGGATGAAAAGAGCCTGATTAAGAACCTCTTACTGATTTCCACCACATTTAGGAAAATTCAAGATTGGTACTTCATTGGCTGGAGAACACATAAAGAAATATGTTTAAAATCCATGGATGTTCCTAATTTATGGATTGTTTCTGTCCCACAAGCATCACCAGGTGACTATACATACACTTAGATCCGATGGGGATGATCTTGTCCATCTACCACTTACGTGCAGAAAAAGGGGATCCCTCTTTTATCCCTGTTTTCCTTGCACATATGGGAAACCTGTTGAAATAAAACAGCTGGATGGAGTGGGTACCTGGATATTTAATCCACACTCTCAAAGGGAAGGGAGAGGAAGGCTGTGGGATCTCCAGGATCACCTCCAGTCCCTGCTCAGCTATGGGCACACCAAGTGACCCTGAGCTCCAGCACTTTCCCTTGCCTCAGTTTACCCACCTCTAAAACTCAGGCTTTGATCTCTGTGGTAGAAGCACTTTGATGAAAAGCACTAGGTGAGAGTGGGTTATTTTCAGGAGTAGTTTGATCCAAGACCTGGCTGTTTCAGCTTTCCATGTTACCTAATGTTACAGCAAATTTAACTTCTGATTTTGTTTTCCTCTCTTTCACCCCTTAGGTTTTTAACAATCATTATTTACAAGTGACCATTGATGACTTGAGACCTGAACCCAGCAAAATCTCAATGCTTTGCCATGCGGATTCCTTAGGGATCTTGCCAATACAGTGGTGCCTTAAGAACGGAGTCAATCTCACACCTCCCAAGGGTTTGTATTCCTTCTCGGTGATTTGCAGGTTTCCTCTGAACAAAGTTTGCCTCTTCTTACTGCCTTTAAAACCATGATGCTGTTTGCCACGGAGCATCACCCTGAGTATTGTGAGCCAGAGTAGCTCTCTTGAGTCTCTGGGGCTGTTCTGGCTCATACCACCCTGCGACTGCACCTCTGCAAATGCATCTTGCTGGCGGATTGATGTCCGTGTGCTTTGTGGTCTGAAGCAGCCTGCACCAAAGCCTAATGAATTCCTGTAAAATGCATCTTAGCAATGCTTTGTGTGTGTAGAGAGCAAAAGGAGCATTAAAAATGATATTATACTAGAAGCAAACCAGGCATCTCCCTTATAGCATCCACCTTGGTACAATGCTGAGACCGAGCAAAGCACCTAAATCTAAATGTCTAAACTAAACTCATAGCTGCCTGCCCAGGAGCGTGCAAGCATTTCCTTAGCTGTCTCAAAAAATCCCAGGTGATGGCAAATTGTGAGCAGCATTCAGGTCAGAGCCAGGAGAAGAAGCCTCCAACCGTGCTATTTCCCAACTTTGTAGCAGTGCAGTTAATTACTTGCAATTTCAGACAACCACCTGTGGTGCCCTAGCAATATTTCTTTGCTTGCGAAATGCGTTGGCTCGCTGGAATTTTAGATGTTTTTGAAGCTGGCTGGGATGTTGACCCCTTGCCAAAAAAGTGGTGTTGCTTGGGAGAAAAAGAAATGGCTCAAAAAAAACCCCAAAACAAACCACCTCACTAAGTTTTGTGCATGCAGATTTGTCTTAATTTTGGAAAAAGTGTGCTGCCGCCAAATCCAGGGAAGCGAATGATTATTCCTTACCAGATTCAGAGTCCTCTCATGTGTATCCAGAGTGTCTCTTCAGCACATGTAATTTGAAATTCCCACCAAAGTCCTGGAGTCCGGTGTGTGCAGCTGCATACGGCGCATCCATGATTACCTTTACTGAAATGTGCTGTCCGGATGCTTTAGCTTAAATCTGAGTGTAATGATAATGCCTGTGTAAGTGCTCCCTGGTATTGGCCAGAAAAGTTGTTAAAAGTGAAAATAAATGGAATATTTTGGTTTTTTCCACCCCAAATTCAATGCAGCTTCCCCCAGGCCAGCTAATTAACTAAAGTCACCATAGGCCAGACATTTCTCTTTACAGGGCCATGGCCTAATAATTTCCAAGCTGTGCTGATACAAAGCCTGTCTGAGATGGTGTTATACGGGTCAAGTGCATGCGAACTCTCTTTTAGATGCCAACATTTTTAGAAGTGGCTGTAGCATCCATCGTATGGATATTTTTCAACTTGGCTGGTAAAGTCTAAGGTGCGAGTAGTTATCTGGTGGGATGCCTGGTGATTGGGGTACAGCTGGGCTCCTGAGAAAGTGTAGGAAGTCTCCTCTCATTCCCCGATGAAAAGAAAGTTTGCTTTCTGCTCGTAGATGAGAAATCCTGGAGGGAAGCTATTAAAAAAAGGCATAAAGCAAGCAGCAGATAGATGCATGCTATATATTGCTATATTTCTATACTGTGTGTGAGGGCTGCATGCCCAAACTGCATCTTAGCACCTTTGGTGTCAAAAACCTTTTCCATTGGCAGACACGCTCTTTGAGTCACTAAAATATAATCAGACATTGGAATGGTTTCTTTAAAAAAAAAAAAAAACCCACAATAAAAATCTACAAACCACCAAAAAAGAAAGGAGATGGAAACTGAAAAGCATCCAAACCCCCATTGAGGGAGCCAGTCTTCTCTGAGCAGAATAATACCAGCTTTGGATAAAGAAATAACCAGGACTGATGTGAGAGGGCTGCAACGCTGCAAAAGTGAGGAGGGCTGTGGTGTGAGCTGGCTGCTAATGAACAGGTCTGCAGGAGGAGGAGGAAATCCCACCATTTCCACTCAAATCACTGGACAGCTCTACCTGTCCTAGGGTGTCCACAATTGTCCTTTCTGCCACACAGATTTCACTACCCTTCTACTTCCCCAGCGCTTACTCATTCCTGACCAACGTCACCCTCAACAGAGAATACGTTGACAATATTTAGCGTTGCCCAAATGTCTCTCCCTGTTGAAAGCCAACAAGTTCCTATGGAGTGAAAGATGACAACGGAAGAAGTCCTTTTTCTTTTTGTGAAAAGGATTTCTTTGCTGTATTCTGGGCTTGGGTTTTTTGGTTAATTTATGGTTGACAAGGAGGTTTTCTAATTTTCAAATTAACTGATTTTATTTCATCAGAAGAGCGTGCCAGGTTGGGGTATTTGGGTTCAGAGCCCTTTATTTGTCTGATATCCATTCTCTTGCCTTTTTGCCTATCAGGCCTTTGTTGAAGCCAAACATACAGTAGATGAGTCATGAACAGGAGGTGCAAACATTTGCTACTAGAAATAGAGAGCAGTATTTTCCTGTACAGTGCCAAAAATGAATACCCATTTACTGCTGCTGTATAAACATTGAACAAGTGCTGTTTATATTTATTAGAGCTGGATTTATAGACCACTTCCCTTTAGAGTAACAACCATTGTTCCTTTTTATGAGCTATTAAGAGGGGGAAAAACATTTCAGTAGCGCTTCTAGTTGTAAGGCTTACTAAGGAAATGCCACTTCCAAAGCCTCCAGTACATTTGTATTGTTATATTTGCTTCTGATTAGACTGCTGGGCTCTTCCATGCTGGGAATTGAGATAGCAAACACAATGAGGTTTTACGTGTTTGAGGAGCAGCAGCTGAATCATGCAAGCAAAGCTCTGAATGTTATTACTTGGGCTGAGCCTTACAGGATAACAGTATGTGAATGCCATGTGCTAATGGAGGTACTGGGTACATGGTGCCTCCCTATGTGCTAAGGGAGGTAGCTTATATCATGATGCTCCATGAAAGGTCATATACAGGTCCAGGCTTGTTTGAAGCCAATTCCTGAGTATGCTCCTCTTGGAGTTATCCTCGTTGGGCTTCTGAAGTGAGTTATGGCAAACTCGCTAACTGCCTTCTCAGGTCTTGTT